ACGTACCCATGTCCAAAGCACGGCCCCTCCAGCCGAGTCAGTCTCTGTCTGCCGGACAGACCAGGGCGGGGCAACCCCAGCTGCTGCGTGGTCCCCATCATCAGTAAACATTGCATGGCTAAAATATCAGGACTGAAAAATAAATACACAAAAGCATAACCGGCAATCCCACTGTCACTTTAACATGTTAACAGTAATTCCTTAATATTCTTCAATATCCAGTTGTTACTGATTGCCTCTTAATTTTTTTTTTTACATTTTGAGGTATTTTCTTTTTTTTTTCTTTCTTTCTTTCTTTCTTTTTTTGTACTAGGGATTGAACTCAGGACCTTGTGCTTGCAAGGCAGGCGGCGGTATTTTCCACTTTGTTCAAATCTGGATCTAAATAAAGTCTATTTGCTGGGCATGGTGGTGCAATCCCAGCAATTGGGAGGCTGAGGCAGGCGAATGGCTGTGAGTTCAAGACCAGCCTGGGTACCAAGTGAGTTCGAGGCTAGTTTGAACTACATAGCGATACTACTGTGTCTCAAGAAAATGAACAAACACCGAAAAGGTCCAGTTATTGCAGCCGGTTGATACTTACCTCCCCTTTGCAGTAGTAAGGATGGAACCTAGGGCCTTTGCACTGAGCTGCATCACCAGCCCTTTTTAAGTTTTTTGTTTCGAGACACGGTGTTGCCAACTCACTAAATTGCCCGGGCTGGGCTGGAACTTACCATTCTCCTCCCTCAGCTTCTGCAGTAGCTGGGATGGCAGGTGTGCGCTTTTACATTAATCCTCTGTGTAGATGGGTGGATTCAGTTTGCCAGGTTTTCCTTTTGTTTGTTTGGGTTGTTTCTGGTACCAGAGATTGAACTCAGGACCTTGCGCTTGGGAGGCAGGCCATAGAACCACGGAGCTAAATCCCCGGCCCTTGCCAGTTTTTCAATGAGGACTTTCGTGTTTATGTTCACGAGCCGTCTTGGGCTGTGGTTTCTTTTTTCTCTGTGAGTTTTTCTTGGTGAGGCTACACTGGCCTCGGAAAGCTAGTTGGAAAGTGTTCCTGCCTCCACTAATTGCTGGAAGAATTGTGGTAGAAATGGTGTCGTGTGTTCCTTAAAGGCTTCCGAATCAATTCTATTTTAATTGTGTGGTCTTTGGCGCTGGGGATAAAACCCAGGGCCTGGCACATGCTAGGCAAGTGCTCACCACCAGGCTACACTGCATCCCTTTTTATTTTATTTTGATTAAGCTTTCTTGCTAAATTGCCCAGGCTAGCCTCCAACTTGAGATCCTTCAGCCTCAGCCTCCCGAGGAGCTGGCGTGACGAGCGTGTGCTATGGTGTGGGGTTGGAGTTTGATTTCTGCCCGCACCGCACCGTCCCTCTCTCCCTGAGCTCCCCCACATTGCCCAAGGGAGACCTGGTGACAACCAGGCCTCATTCCTGGGAGAGTCCTGCCCCCTGCTGGCTGAGACCAGGACAGCCTGTCCTGTGCCAGCCGCTGACCCCCACACAGAGCTCACAAGGCTGCTAGACAGATGCGCGAGGCAGGGATGGGGAGATTTGGGGCCCGGCCAGTGTGCAGGACAGTGGGGGTGGTGATGGTGGTGGCGGTGGTGTCCTCTGTCCTTTACCTTGGATCCCAAAGCTCTTCTCCTTCGCAAAGCACCCTCCCTTTCTGCTGATTTTGCAGTGCTGCGGATGAAACCTAGGACCTTCACGCTGAGCTACACGCCAGCCCTTTTTATTTTGTATTTTGAGACAGGATCTCAATAGGTCACTAAATCGTCCAGGCTGGGCTTGAACTTGCCCTCCTCAGCTTCCCAGAGTTCTGGGATGACAGGTACACTCCCCGCATCAGCTGAAAGCTGCCCCCTTACGAACCTGTTTCTCTTCATGTCCTCCGTTGAGCCCAGGAGAAGTCCGGTTTGTCTCCCATCTCACTGACCAGGAAACTGAGCCCGGGGAAGGGGCACCACCTGCCTCAGCTGCAGGGGTGCAGTGGGGGTTCCTGGGCTTCACATGGCAGTGCAGGTCCTTCAGGGTCCTTCCGAGGCTGCTCTGGGGCTGGGGCTCGGCCTCCCCTGGGCCAGGAGAGGCAGGAGGGGACCTGCAGTGACAGGTAAGGTGGCTTCTCGGTCCCCGCTCTTGGCTCTTCTCTCCCTTCCTCTCCCTCTTCCGCCCTCCTCTTCTCTGAGGGTCTCCTTCCCATCCGCTCTGTGCCCGCTTTTGCCACCCAGAAGGTGGTTGGGTAGCAGGAACGCTGGGGGTGGAGCAGGGGAAGGGTGGCTACGGGAGGTGCGGGGGGCAGCCCGCCCACCTCCATGCCAGTCCAGGCGGTGTGACCCTCGGGAAGCTTGCTTGACCTCTCTGGGCCTCAGCAGCCTCATCTGCAAATGAGAGGGATGACAAAGATCCCGCCGAGGGCTGGAGGCAGGGGTCAGGGGACTAAAGCCTTTCAGAAGCAGGAAGCCGCAGGGCACAGAGGCAAAGCACTGACATCAGCAACGTCAAGGCGGCGCCCACCTTCGGAAGCTTCCAGAACCTGCTGGGGGGCGGTGTCCTGGGCGCCTTTAGAGGGTCTGGGGTCACGCTGGGCTCCGCCCACTTTAGAGCGGGGCCTCCTCCGACAGGACCCGGGGCTTGTGGGCCAGCACCGGGAGGCCGAGGCCGCGGGC